ATGTCTCTCTCCATCCACCAATGCCACGTTGCACCACAGACTGTCCAGGAGTTGGGGGATGCTTTAGTCCAGGTGTGGGAGGAGATCCCTCAGGAGACCATCCACCACCTCATCAGGAGCATGCCCAGGCGTTGTAGGGAGGTCATACAGGCACGTGGAGGCCACACACACTACTGAGCCTCATTTTGATTTGTTTTAGGGACATTACATCAAAGTTGGATCAGCCTGTAGTGGGTTTTTTTCCACTTAAATTTTGAGTGTAACTCCAAATCCAGACCTCCATGGGTTGCTAAATTTGATTTCCATTGATAATTTTTGTGTGATTTTGTTGTCAGCACATTCAACTATGTAATGAACAAAGTATTTAATAAGAATATTTCATTCATTCAGATCTAGGATGTCTTATTTTTGTGTTCCCTTTATTTATTTGAGCAGTGTATTTTGTTTCAATGGGCCTTTCTTTAATCTGTGGACTGTGTGAGCAATCATCTCATGATTATTATTGTGAATGTTTGTAATATGTTTTAAGATTTTCAGTTTTTGTTTTTCTGTACCTGACCCAGAATCTCTTTGACAAGAAATATGCAAATGTTGCAGAATAAATAATTACCGGTAAATAACAAATGTTGATTATAATACCTCTTCTACAAAAACTATTTTCACAGGTTTCCTTAAACTATATTATATCAAAGTGCTTCCCATTTTAATATGGGTTTTAACTTCCTCATTAAAGATTAGTTGAAATGACAAGCTGATTGATGGGACAAGTGAAAGACCTGGAAACAATCTTTTGTTTATAGAGTGATCTTCAAAGTTCAAGCAAGGGTTATAATTCCTTCTTTCAGCACCATCATAATTTCAAATGGTCACCAAACGAATGGTCATAAGTCAGATACAGATAGTCTTCAACTTACAACCACATTTCAGACCAAAATTTCCATTACTTAAGCAAGGAGATTGTTAAATGAGTCACACCCAATTTTTTGAAGTGTTTTTTCCTACAATCAGTGCAGTTGTTAAATGAATCTAGGTTTCCCCATTGACTTTACTTCTCAGAAGCTGGCTGGGAAGATAGCAAATGGTGATCACATGACCCCAGGATGCTGCAACCATCATAAATACACGCCAGTTGCCAAGCTCCCAGATTTTAATCACATAACTCTATAATGTGGCAACAGTCTTAATTGTGAGTATTGATCATACATCACTTTTTTCAGCACTGTTATGACTTCAAATGGCCACTAAATAAATGGTTGTAAGTCGAGAACTGCCTTTACTTGTACAAAACTCTTGTGGAATTCCAGATTTGGATGTAGTTTGTGCTTAAAATACTTCATTAATACCAGAAAGAAGTACAAAAGAACAAAAATGCCTTTTAAGGTGAAGAAAGTCATTCAGTTTTACAAAGTCGTTTTGAAAGGCTTTGAAATTATTTCCATATACCAGGACCTTTGGGCTTCAACTTCATTATTGTGTACAATACCACGAAGCTGTTGGATTTAGCTGCTGGCGTATTTCTCTCTGATTGTACCATAGTTTGGAACAAGGCACTTTTCTTTCAGAGATAGTGAGGGCAAGTCAACTCCTGTGTAGACACTTCAGGTTGTAGATGTAGGTTTCTGATTCATGTGCCTTGATTATTTAACCCAGGTAAATATGGGTTGGAGATTATCTGGCAGCAACAAATCAGCTTTACTTTCCTAATGGAAATAAGCAAAATCAACAAGAACATAGGTAACAACAGAGAAATTCACTTATGCATAACAAAGGAGTAATAAACAGGTAATAAAATAGGCAGGTCTTATAGATAATAGATTTTATAGGTGTGGTTAGCTAGATCAGCTCAATGGGTTTTATAGGTTTATGTATATAATTGTTATGTTACTGCATCTTAAATTAATCTTATTCATATTTGTATAGAGGTAGGGATGCAGTGGCTCAGTGGCTAAGACGCTGATCTTGTCGATCAGAAAGGTCAGCAGTTTGGCTGTTTGAATCCCTAGCACTGCATAACGGAGTGAGCTCCTGTTACTTGTCCCAGCTTCTGCCAACCTACTGGTTCGAAAGCATGTGAAAATGCAAGTAGAAAAATAGGGACCACTTTGATGGGAAGGTAGCAACGTTTTGTGCACCTTCGGAGTTTAGTCATGTTGGCTGCATGACCACAGAGACGTCTTCAAACAGCACAGGCTCTTTGGCTTTTTATTGGAGTTGAGCACTGCCCCCTAGAGCCGGAAACGACTAGCACGTTTGTGCGAGGGAAACCTTTACATTTATACAGGTAGTCCTTCATTTACAATAATTCATTTAGTGACCGTTTGAAGTTACAGCAGCACTAAAGAAATGACTTATAACCACTTTATACACTTAGGACTGTTGCATCATGGTCACGTGGTCAAAATTTGAGTGCTTGGCAACTGGCATGCATTTATGATAATTGCACTGTCTTGCGGTCACCATTTATAACCTTCCCAGTTGGCTTCCAACAAGCATAGTCAGGGAAGGAAGCCAAATTTGCTTAATGACTGCATGATTACTTAACAACTGCAGTGATTCACTTAACAACTGTGGCAAAAGAATCCATAAAATGGGGCAAAACTGACTTAACACTGCCTTGCTTAGCAACAGAAACGCTGAGATGAATTTAGTCATAAGTTGAGGAATGCCTGTATGTATGTGGATATTTATATCCACATACATACACAAACACACTTCACTATATTTAGTGATCCTTCAGTAGAGAGAGGCAGACCAAAGGCAGACCCAAAAAAGAATATTTCTGTAATTTTTATCTTTTTTGTAGACTCTGTACACCTAGCTGGCTTCCAATGAAAACAGAATGCTAGATTAAAAGACTTCTTTATTTGATCCAAGACTAAATCTCTTTGAACATTCATTAAATATAAGAAAGCTTGTGTATGATACTGAAAACTATGGAAGTTTTTGATCATATAAAGGGGGCTTAATTGCTGGTTGCATTTCTTTTTAGTAATTCTTCATTGACTTTTTTAGCCTTGTAGACGTCAAATCAGAGTAATGGAGTTTAAATTTGCCCTTTGCCCTTTATCGTTATTTACTGAAAAGAGAATTTGGGTAATTTCTTTGGACCAAGATTATCTCACATTAAATGACTCAAGCACTTTGTTGCCTAATTTAAGTGCTTTACTTATTAGTTGTTTGAAATAAGTTAAAAGTAAATATCCTGTTTAACTTACTTAGAAAATAAAGAAGATGAAAGCATTCAACTGGAAACAATGTCTTAAGCTGTAGTGGGGTTTTTCTGTTTAAATAAGCCTGTCTTTTCTACTGTTTACATATTTTAGTTACTCCATACTTGAAGAAGTTTGCTAATTGTAAGATTGGAGACAGGAACTTTTTTTTTGTTCTTGGTCAAACAACTTTGTAAAATTAGAAGGGGAGACATATGAAAAACTGCCAAATTTGTCTTGGCAGAGATAACCCAGTTGGATGTACATGCTATCAGGACTAATCACTTTAAAAAAAAAACTTTGTTTTTCTCTGTGGAAAGAGCAACACAATCCTTTTAACCAGTAAATTGTCAGTAATACCTTTCTCAGTCTTCAGCAAGTTAACTTAAAGTTGTCAGTAGGAACACTTTTATCTAGATTTGCATTTAAATGTCTATCTAGAATGTTTTTATGCCTCTGTGTTTGCACAAATCCTGATCAGCTATTCTAGATTTCTTTTATGCTGGGTATCTGATTGATAGATATCCAGGCTGATGGGAATGCAGAGTTTTATTTTATTTTTTTGTCATAAATTGTTTTCTGAATTTTTTTGTATTGATTGTAGACCTGGGTCTTTCTCTAATCAGGGCCCTGTTAACAAAAAGTTGCTGTTGGCTTTTCTTTTTCTTGTTGTTGTTTTGCAGGGGGAGATATGAGGACATGGAAGAATGAGGTGGAAGGCTAAGCAAAGCAAATATATTTCATGTAGAGCAATTGGCTGAAAGGAAGAATGTTTTGGCCTGACTGAAATAACTTCTCTCATGATACTGAAACTAGCATATAACTATTTTTTTTTAAGCAGCACCAATTAGGTCAATGTTCTAAATGAACCACCTTCCTAATGCTGGAAGACATCTGGCATGCTGCAGAAATAATGCTTGATAGGGTATACAGCAAATATATAGCAAATTTTATCTTGCACAGTTCGATAGGAACAGAGTTGGAGAGAGGCCTTTTAGGAGTTTGGAATGTACTTAAGGGAGATAGTAGCCCAGATTGTGAAGATCAGTTAATAACTGTAGAAATCATAAGTCAGGAAATGAACTGGAAGCCTGACAATTTCCCTTCTTAAAGCAGCTGCAGATCTTTTGTGTAAGGTAGAGTAAAATCATTGCAAAATGCGACAGAATAATATTGAAAAATGTTATAAATAAACAATAACTAGGAACATCTCTATTTATTTTTGAAATATAGAGACTTATTATAAAGGCAGTAATACTCAATAATAGCACCAGACAAATTCACATATTCATGCTAGTTAAAATCATTTCTAAAAATTCTAGAAAAAGAATGTAAGAATGAGAATGAATACATATGGGAACATATAGTCAATATGCCTATCATAAATCCAACAAATCTGCTTAATTGTCCTGTGAATAAGCCAAGATAGCTTAAAATACATAACATGTCCCCAATTGATGGGGAGTCTGTTCAAATTTTTCAGCCTGCTTACTTATGTGAAATGCTATGGAAACACAAGAGTATGTAACAGAATCATAATAATTGGAGATAGCAGTGACTGCAAACCTGTTGGTTGGATTTTGTCTATGGAGTAAGGAACTTAAATATATGAAAGTCATTTTCATAAAAGATATTGAGATGTGTGCATTCATTTATAGTAAGAAAGTATAATTGCAGAAAGACAAGCTTTAATAAACTGGAAGAATTTACACCTTACTGTTAATTAGATGGACTAAATTTGCTGAAAGTTGCTTTTATTTTCTTGATGTGAATCTTTTTTTTTTTTAATAGGTACGGACACTCTTTGTCAGTGGTCTTCCTCTGGATATCAAGCCCCGAGAGCTCTATCTCTTGTTCAGACCATTCAAGGTACTTTCTTTGACTATCAATCTTGGAAGACAAAACTGAGACTAAGAGCCTTGGTGTGCTTATTTATAGAAACATTGTGATTTGTGTTGTTATTATAAATGGCATATTTCCACAGTAATGTCTGACAGGTTCTCCTGGAAGAGAATACAATATTTCTAGTGTCTGGATTTTTAAAAGTTTGGAATACAGTTAATTGTAATATCTTATTTCAACTGAAAACATGGCTAGGAGGACTTTCAAAGAGACTGAAAGTTGGCCAAACACTCCCCCCAAAAATGACTATAAACATTAACAGTGGTGTGATGAAGTTACACATACATGAGCCTCTGATGATGATAAAGATTAGGTAGAGTTCATGACATCTGTAAATGACATGCCACATATTGTAGATGCTACCATATATTCTTCCAAGGCATATTTTACTGTTTTTTTTTTAAATTTTCTAATACCAGCAATGGAAATGTACAAATCTAACATATATTTTTTATTTGTTCTGGGTTGATAAACCTCATTTTCATTTATAGAAAGCATAACATTAGGCTATATATGTATGAAATCCATCTTTCTTGGTAATGAAATATTTTAATCCACTTCATTACATTTTCCCACCCATTCCCTTTGAGCTGGGTGACATAGGAAAAATTCTTTTTTGTGTCATTTCTGTTTGACATCTTGAGTATATGCATATTATTTTGACTGTGCAAAGCGTTTGAAAGAAGTGTTTCACCAAATGTGTTAGAAAGAACAAAGCACACCTCTGTTTGAAATGTTAAAACAGCCAGGTCATTTGCAACACTTTTAGCTTGCAGAAGACTTGACTTCTTTAACACTTCACAGAGAAGTGCTTTGCTTGTGCTCACCTACATTGCCAAACATCTCTTTTGAATGCTTTGCAAATCCCTAATACATATCCCATTAGCAGTTTCTTAGTATTTGAGGTATCTTCCACATGATATTTTCTGAATCATTTAAACACACCTTTTATAATTTTGCCTCAGGAAAGATGGAGACTAACAATCTTTATTTCTGGGAAGCCCCCAAATGTTTCTCTCTGTAAGGATGATTCAGAAGTGGCATTGCTTGCCAACTTTTTTAAAAAAACATGGGTGCTCTTGTCCCAAAGGTATTTTTTCAACAGGCAACTGGACTTTCTGTTTTTTCTTTGAAGACATTTCGCTTCTCATCCAAGAAGCTTCTTCAAGTAACACTGGTGCCCTTGTTACCTCAGCTATTAATTCTAGTAACCATTCTCAGCATAGGCCTAGACATTGGGATACTAAATTCTAGTTCTATCTTGGGCACGAAAGCTGATTGGGTAACTTTCAGCCAGTCATTCTCAGTGCAACACACCTCACAGGGTTATTGTGGGGAAAATAGGAGGAGGAAGAACTATTAGGTATGTTTGCTGACTTGAGTTATTTATAAAATAATAAAGGTGAGATAAATCTAATAATAAATATTGGTATTTTAGCAGACACACTTTTTATTAAGGCTTGCAAGAATCAGACTTGCAAGAGGCTGTTAATGTAACCTTACAATAAAGTAGAACCATCAGGTGTCTACTTCACAAGCTGACATCAGTTTTGCAAATCTGACAGTACCTTTCTCCAGCACGACGATTGGAGAATCCATGGATGGGTTGACCACATGCCTTTCTGCCTGGAGACTGAGTCCAACTGTTTTTGCCACACCCTTCATCAACTGTCACTCTCCCCAGTTCATGACTCAGTCTTGCACTAGAACAGGGGTCTCAAACACAATTTACCTGGGGGCCGCTGGAGGCAGAGTCTGGGTGAGGCTGGGCCGCATAATATTATACTTTATATTATACTTTATATTTATATTATACACTAATATTATACTTTCATATCACGGCGGGGGCCACAGGATATCGTCCTGCGGGCCGCAATTGGCCCGCGGGCCGCGAGAATGAGACCTCTGCACTAGAAGGTTGTGGCAAAAGATTGGCTCGTAGTTCTCCAGATAGAAAGAGTTTGTGGTTAAAGCTGACTTCTTATAGTTCAGGTTAGCTTCGTAGCGTTTTAAAGGGCTATGGAGGCAAAAAATTTTTCTTTTTCCTTTTTCTTCTCTGCTTCCTGGTCTTCATTATTATTTCCCTTAGCCACTGCTTGCTGCCAGCCTCGCATAATGCCAGAGGGAACAGTTTCCCCCGCATGAGGGCTGCTGAACTAAGAGCTGTGTCTTACTTGATCATTTTTCTGCCTCTGTTTTCCCCCTGTCTCTCAAGGTCGTTCCTACATACCTTTACACTTGGGGACAATTTGAAGCACTGGTGAATTACATGCTAGGAATGAAAATATTAGATTGCTTCAACAAAGAACTCTATCATAGAATCTTTCTACCCAGAGGGAAAGGGGAAAGGGAAAGGCTACCCAGATAGCTGTCAAAATGCAGAAGAATTGGCAGTTAGTTCAGCTGGTGCCCCCAGCCTCATTGTAGTTGTTTGCAGAATGTGGTGTTGGTGGTGGGGGACACTTTAGGTATGCTCCGAGTAGATAGCAGTAAAATTGCCTAACTAATCATAACTAATAATGGTGAAGGGAGCTATCAGATATGGCAAAGTTGTTTACATCAGCAGGCAAACCTTTGTCCTAGAACTAGGAGAAAAAATGCAACACTCTCTATACAGCATTTCTTCTGGAATGGCTCTGAATCAGTAGTTAATTGGCAAGCTCACAGTGTGAAAAGAACCCAGGGCAGCAGTACTGGTTTCGGAGCAGTAGAATCCTTGCATTATAGAACAGTCCTAAATACACAAGCATTTTGCCATGCAAATCCTTGTGCATTGCATTATGATGTAAGTACAAAATGGTGGAGCTCATGACAGCATGGCATACATCTGTGGCGCAGTGGTTAGAGTGCAGTACTGCAAGCTACTTCTGCAGTCAGCTGCCTACAGTTTGACAGTTTAAATCCCACCAGGCTCAAGGTTGACTCAGCCTTTCATCCTTCTGAAATTGATAAAATGAGGACCCAGATTGTTGGGGGCAATATGCTGACTCTGTAAACCACTTGGAGAGGCTGTAAAACACTATAAAGTGGTATATAAGTCTAAGTGCTATTGCTATTATATCATTTTGGCACTTTTTAGTTGTGAGGAGTGGATGCCTGTATAAGCCCTATGGTATAATATCTTATTTGTGTTACTCCAAAGCTAACATGTCTTTGGAGATTCTCAATCATCCAAGTCATGGTTGTCCCAAAAAGGCTTTTTCCAAAAGACAACTGGATTTTCTTGGGTGTTTTTTTCTTTGAAAATGTTTCCCTTCTCATCCAAAAAAAAAATAGAGAAGCTTCTTGGATGAAAAGTGAAAAGTTTTCAAAGGGAAAAAAAAAAAACACCTAGAAAGCCCAGTTGTCTTTTGAAAAAAGTACCTTTGGGACAAACTTGGCCTTGCTTTTATATATAGATCTGTAGGATTATTATTTTTTCTCTATGCTTTACTCAAAATACAGTACAGATAATCTTCATTAACTGACCACTCATTCAGCAATGGTTCGAGGTTATGATGGTGCTGAAAAGGGAGACTTAGGTTTTCAAAATGCAACTCTTGCAGGGTGCCCTCAGTCACATGATGGTGATTTGGACACTTGGTAGCTGTCGTGCCTTTATCAAGATTGTAGCACTCTGCAGTCCCATGATTGTCATTTGTGACCTTCACAGGCAGCTTCTGACAAGCAAAGCCAATGGGGAAGCCAGCAGGAAGTCAAAAGTTGCATCATGTGATGTCATGCTTAATAATCTACAGTTATTCACTTATTGACCATAGCTGGAACTGCCAAACTCATCAAGTGCAATCATATTGGCACAGTCATGTGATTTTTCACTTTACACATGTGCACTTAGTAACAGAGTTGCCAATCCCAGTTGCAATTGGTAAGTAAGAAGTGTCTGTAGTTCCAATAATAATGAATACTTTTAAGTATATAACTTACAGTTTAACTCAGTTTTTAATCCTAATATTGACCAGTTGTCTGCCTTAAGGCCATATGAAATAGTTAGATCTTTTTATGAATTATGATTGCTGTCCTTTTAAAAGAAAGCCAAATGATAAAGAATGCTGTGCATTACTGTGAGACAATGTGGTGATATTCAGTATTTAAATGTACAGATCTAAAGATCTTGTATATTATTTTGTACATATGTAGTTTTTATTTTTCTCTCCAGGGATATGAAGGTTCTCTTATTAAACTCACTTCAAAGCAGGTAAGGCTAACACTGAATAAATGCTTTATCATAACCATCATAAGAGGTTATTAAGATGCGGTAAATTATAAATGATAAAGTAGGTATAAAAGTTTGGCCCAGTAATCTTTATTTTTTTTCTTTTTAACAAAAGTTACTGAAAATGGTTGGAACAACTGAGTCATTACAGTCTTTTTAGTTGATTCAGTACTTATCTTTTAACTATAGTAATCACTCTGTTAGAGATGTATGTTAGATGTACTTGAAAAATTAAAATTGTGTCCAGCCCAGTTCATCTTCGAAATGTGATCACTGACATTCAGAAGGATTATTGTGATAATGTTATATATGTCTCACTTTTTTAAAATATAATTTTATTGACGACATTTTTAACAAGATTAAAAAATACGAACATATTAAAAAAGAAACAAAATAAGAAAATAGAAATACAAATAGAAAAGAAAAAGTAGGGGAAGAAAAGATGACTTCCCATCTTTTTGACAGCAGTTATAAATGCATCTGTATTCCACCCTCTGTCTCTAAGGTTACATCATAATTTCTTTCTTTCTATAAGCTACCCTTTCTAATCTTCAAACCCATAAATCACAAGCTTTTTTCCTCTTTTTTTCAGCAAAAAGTCCATAAGAGATTTCCAATAATTGATAAATGTAGTTGTTGATCTTTCTCTAATCAGACAGATTAATTTTGTCATCTCTGCTAGTTCTGTCATGGTCACCATTCATTCCTTGGTTGTGGGCATGTCAGTCTTTTTATTTTTGCACATATAATAGTCTTGTGGCAGTAATCATATATGAAAATAATCTTCCATGGATCCTTTCTAACTGAATGTCCACTAATCCCAGCAAGAAAAGTTCTGATTTTAGTTGAATATTGGTCTTTAAAATGTGTGGTATCATTGCATGTATTTGAACCCAGAAATTTCTGGCTTTTTTACAAGTCCAGTAGTCATGATAAAAATAATACCTGTTGTCCAACATGTATTTAAAGTACCTTTATACATTCTAGATAATTTTTCTGAAGTCATATACCAATGTTACATCATTTTATAAAAAAACATCTTTTAGATTATAACAATATAAATTTCAGCCCTTTTAACCACATATTTTCCCACTGTTCCATCAGTGTATTGTGTCCAAAGATCTTAGCCCATTTTATCGCAGTCTTTCATTTGTTCTTTTTCCATTTCAAAATTTCAGTTAAATTACATTTTAGCAATTACATGTTCATCACTTGTACATTTTGTACTTCATATTCTGTCATCTGTTGTCAATCCCAAATGTCCTATTATCTACCTTAAATCTTTCTCTTAACTGTGCATATGAAAACCATTAAAAACTAAATCCCTCTTTCAGTCAATTGCTCTTTTGAGTTCATGTTATATTCTCCATGTTTCTGTTATAAGGGCTCTCGGTAAGTTAACCATTTTTCTCTATCTACTGTTTCTTTCCTGTAAAACACTTCTTATGCTGTCATTATGTTGTTGTAAGTATTCCAAAATATCCCATATGTTTTTAATATTGTCCCACAGCTTTTAGGTGAAAATCCAAACTAATTATAGTTCTGTAAACCACCTTCATTTTCTCAGCTGAAATCATCATAAATAACTTACAAGCATTCTTCAATAATGATATTGAGAAATAATTTTTGGTCCAGTCAAATCTTGATCTTCTTTAGGTATTAATACTATATTAGCCTCTATCAAACTTTCTGGTATCTTTCTAGTCTGTAAAATGAAGTTCATTACCTTTTGCAATAGTTGTAGTCATTTGTTTTAAAAATATGATAAGCTGGTAAACCACCTGGTCCAGGTGCTTTCCTTGTTGTGACTTTTTTATAGCTTCATAAACATTTCTTATTGTAATAGATCCATTCGTTAATTATTTCCGTATTTCTGTGATTTTTGGAATTTTTTGTTTCTTTAAATGTTCATAACTTTCCTAGGGAGATTTCTTTTCCTTTATATTAATTAGAGTAGTATTGATGGCATTTCTTCTGTTAATATAATATTTCTATGTTTTAATTTTAATATTTTTCCCACGTTCCTCAATTGATATGCCAACAATTTCCACAGCTTATTTGCAAGTTCAAAATTCTTTTGTTTTGCATAATTTATTTTTACTTTCATTTTCCCTACTATAAACAAAGACCACTGTTGTCATAAAAGTTTAATTTGGTGTTACATAATTTTCTTTTGGGGGGATTCTTTAATTCTTTAATTTTTATCTGACCTAAAATTGTATTTTCTTGTCTCTTTTTTTCACTTTACTATCATGCTGTATAAAATATCCCTTCATAAAAGCTGTACTTGTGTCCCAAACCATTATTAGTCTCTACCTTTATTAAAATTACTATAAAAATGCCTTTAACAATTTTTTTACAATTTTTTTTACTGTTTCTTTCTGCTGCAATGTTTGTTTACTTTCCATCTGAAAGAATTGATTTTCCTTTTAAACGCTAAAGTTTGAAAAGACCTTTGGCAGTATGTCCACTTATAAACACTAATAGCCAAATTCTTGGATATTCAAAGCATATTAATTCTTGAGAAAGATCTATGTCTTTCAGAATAATAAGTGTATTATTTTGCATCATGATTTTTGTCTCTTCATGCATTTACAAGCTCTAGATTATTTATCTTGTCAAAAAAAAGTTTCGATAATTTATCTTGTGCTATTTTAATATCTTTCTCAGAGGAACTGTCCTTGTGTGAAGAAATGTGAAGCCCAAAGAACCAGTAACACTTCCTATGTTCAAAGCCCTGAAGAGTTTATTATTGTTACTTATACACAAGAATCACACAGTCAAAGTTAAATTGATGCTAAATAAGGGTGAATGAAATTCATGGGGAGTTGGACTTAGATCTCTGATGGCTGTGCAATGATTTCAAACTCATGACACATTTAACCCTGCCTGCTAGCTCAGCCTGCTGATCTCCTACAAAAATCACTCCATTCCAATTTTCCTTAAATACCAATTTTCATATGGTTACTTTGTTCATAACTCTTTTGTAAAAAATTACTTTATCCTCATTTGGAGCATAAATTTCCATTATCAAAGCTTTGGTCCCATGGAAATAGCTTCCAACCACACATATTTACCCTACATATTGCCCAATTGTTTTTATAGTTTTTATACTGTAAGCCACCCAGAGTCATTGATTGAGACAGGTGGCTATAGAAATTAAATGAATAAATAAATAATTATCAGTCAACATCAGTTCTGGTTTTAATTGGGGTTTACATATAAAACAATTCATTTCTCTTTTTAATTATAACTGAAAAATATTTTACAGATAAAATATTTTATATTCCTTTTTCTAATATGCATTTCTTAAAGACAAACTATTTTGACAAATTCGTTTGAATTTTTTTTTTTAATTTTATTGATTTTTAAAAACAAACATAAACAAACAAAACATAAAACATAAAAACATAAAACATCTTTTTTGAAAGCAGCTTGATCCCGGGTTACATCTCTTTGTACAGACACAAATTCAAGTTCATGCTCATTTTTATATACCATTCCATATCTCGTTACCATTCTACATTTTCTATATAGCTTCTCCCCTCTTTTAACTTTCTTAATTTTATTTTATTTATTTCATCTCGATTCAGATCATTATACTTATATTCTTTGTCTGTCCTGTTTCAGCTGTCTATTATCTTTTCTCATTAAACAAAATTTCTCCTGTAATCTCTGATTGGAGTATGACGCCTTTATATCTTTCCCCTAAAATTATAACACTTAATATAATACATAACTTCCGTTCAGATTCTGCTTGGTACATTCTAAAACTACACACTGTATTTTAAAAAAAGAAAAAAATTATAGATATATAATATAATTAAAACAACAATCCATACCAATTCAATTCTATCGTTAATATTAATATTCATTTAGCTCTTAAACATTTTACACATTTCTTTTCAAATAGGTATCATACTTCTATGGGAACACTTATAAACTTTCCATAGTTACTTCCCCCCCACTTCACTTATATTTTATAAAACATTGAATAATTAAAACGTTCCCATTCCTTCCTAATTCAATTCTCTCATTTATTTCATTTCATTTATTTTGTTCACAAAAGTTTCACTGAATTACACTGACTATTTTATCCCACTTTTTAATCATATGTTGTTTCCAATTTTCTAACATTATTTCTAATACAAATATAACAATACAATCTTATGTACCTTTGCAGAATCGCTTTTTCAGTTAAATTTTCACCCATTATCTCTGAGTAAGTCCTGTTTCTTTACATCTTGCTCCAAACCTTTGTAACTTCTCTTCCCTTCCTTCCTCCCTTGCTTCTCTCTCCCCTTTTTACCCCCTTGTCTCTCCACCTCCATTTCCCTCTTCTGTATTCCCCTTTTCTGTTGCTTTCTAACATTATATCCACTTTTCACATTATTTTTCCCTTTTTTGGTTGTTTTTTTAAGTCTTAAATTCTCCACTCTCTTTCCCCCCTTTCCCCTTTCTTCCCCAGATAAAGTTACTTGTTCATCAAAGATGGCTTCTTCTTTGTCCCAATCTTCTTGTTGCGCAGTCTTTTCTTGTAGCTTCTCGTAGGTACAGATCGCCATTTCTAAGAATTGAAAAACGGAGCCAAAAGAACCCTTCCCTTCTTGTTCCTCTTCTTTATATTTTTGAAATTCCATTTTCAGTTCATCCACAAGTGATGCCATTGTAGAATTTTTTTAAACAACCACCCAATTGTTTTTAGTCATTCAAATATAATTTCCAAAAGTCCCAAAGTCACCAAGCAATCCAAATACACACAAGCTGTTTCTTTTTACACTTTCTTCTTTTTTCACTTTCTCTTCCTGGGGTTACTATTTAGTTGCAAAGTTCCAGTTAAAATGTATCTTTTAGAAGTCTTGTTTAGATTTATCTTTAAATTCTTTTGAATTCCAGGCAGGCTCCTCCTTCCAAATCCTGCTCTTATTCTTTTCCTCTCCCTTCCCACTTATAGCAAAAGAAGAATTTTTTAATATTCAGAAATCTTTGTTGTCCCCTTGGCATTTAATGATATTTCCAGTTTAATTACCTATTGGTGCCAAAGCGGGTTTTTCTGATTTCTCATTCATCTCTCTTCGCTGTCACCGTAAGGAAGGAGAGTGAAATAAAAAACTTTCCCTTTTCACTTTCATTCGCTGCTTCCGAATCTTCTTTGGGAACAATGTATCTTTTATAAAATTTAAATTCCAGGATACCTTGGTTGTTGCTTCTTATCCCGGTCAGCCAAAACGTTCACTTCTTAACTTCCTCCTGCACTTTCTTTTCCGGATGAGTGCTTCTTTGAGGCGGCCATTTCTGACCGCCGCTCTTACCGCCTTCGGGAAAGGGAGTTTAGCCAGCTGAGGAGGAAAGATGCAGCTTTCCTTGACCCTGCTGGGATCTCCCCCCTCTTCACCACCTCTACGGGGTGGCTTAGCCCCGAAGCCAAACTGGTTCAGGGCGCTCCAGTGGCGAGCCCAGGCAGAAACCGCGCACGATCGCGGATTTCTGCCTGTCACCGAAGCCCTGCAAACCGGAAGTCACTGACAAATTCGTTTGAATTTTTTGAAGTAACTTTCTCCTTGTTTGAGGAGCATTTGTTCCATTTATATTTCACATTAGGCTTTTAAAATTGATGTCTATACCAAAAACTTAAAAAAATCAATACTTGTCATTACCTAATGTCTCTTCCTCAGTTTATTGTTTTAGCTCTTTAAGGTAGTGAGTGGTGAGACTCTTTGTCACTTTGATTTGCATTTCTTGCAGTTTATCTTTAAACTTTCCTAGAAAGTGTCTTGCTTTTTGGATTGAGTTCAGTCAGAACCTCTATGGTTTAAAAGTGAAACTGTCAGGCTTTTAGCAATAGCTGTCATTGGAAACCTATGACTGCAGATTTTCTTCTTATAGTTTGATTCCATGAAAGGGACAGATGACAGTGGAATGTATACAGTGTAGGAATTTGCTGCTGCTGCAGTTTTAAAAAAGGATGAAGAACTTCAAGGTTGTTCATTTGGTAACTAATCTAAATGCTAATGAAATAGATAATTTGAAATTATCTTGCCTGTGCACTAGTATCCTGTCATAATGAAAGATGGGAAAATGTATTAATAGGTGCAGATTTAAAAATATATAATTTCAGATTTTTGTCTAAAAATCTTTATAAGAAACCTAGCCTAAACATTTTGATTGTTTTTCACCTCTTAGGTTAAATCTGTTTACATACCTTGAAAGTAAAATGTTTAATAAAGGCAAGAACAGAAGTAAGATTGGTTCCCTAGTTTCTGCTAAATTAAGTGCTCTAGTACAAATATTTCATAAAACACTTCCTTGTTTTAATGTTTTTATAGATAAATTAGTCTAAACAACAGTCCCGTTTTAATTCTTGGTAAATGTAGAATGTAGAAGGTGAAGCATTTTGGAATAATTAAGTAATCATTTCTTCCTTTTAATTTGTTTTCATAGTCTGAGTCTTTTGATATTGGAGAAATGATTTTCCACAGATGGGAAATCTCACAATCTTTAAGATTCATTTTGGAGGCATAATCTCAAGTTTCCAAGAATGTGAAATAAATAAAATTAACCACAGTCTTTTAAAATTGTTACTTAATATGTAGAATGCAACATTGAATAGAATTGTCCAAAATATTTATTTTTAAATACGTCAAGTATCAGATGTTGAGAAAACTGTCATCTTAAATGCAAAATTCAAAATACTTTGAGCATTTTGAGAGAAGCTTCAGTTTGAAACAAGAGGAGTAACAAGTTCAAGACAGTGAATTTCAAATTTGAAATGCTTCCAAAATGTTTGGAAAGTCCCATCTGGCATATGACAAGGGATATTTTGTGAAAATTCACATTAAAAATAAATAAATCAGAAATGAAATGTTTGGACATTCCTAGAACAGAACAAAGTTTAATCAACAAAAGTCTACACAATGAAAAATCAATACCAACTCATAAACTAAAGATACTAAAAACAATGTAATCGTGTTTAATTTGGGCTATCATCAATATTTCAAATGAGATTTTTCTGCGTAATTTTTGAATTAAAAGTAGCATATGAAGTAAAGGATAATTTTGACTATGAACAGTCCAGAAACATTCTAATTTTTCTCTTCTTTCAGCCTGTGGGTTTCGTTACCTTTGATAGTCGCTCAGAAGCAGAAGCTGCTAAGAATGCCTTGAATGTAAGTACATAGTATTAGTCTCAGTTGACTGGATAGCTTTCTAAGTATGGTTAAATACTTAAGTACAGGGATGTAAAATATATACAGGGAAGTGGCACTGGACTATATTAAAATGGAGCTCTATTGTCTACAGCGTCATGTACTGCAATGCAAATAGGAATTTGAATTGAAATTTCAAATGGGATTGTTGCTTTGAATACTTATAAAAATGCCCTTGCATGTAGAAATTGTCAGCTTTAGCAGAATAGAAATGCAATCAAAGGGGAGATAATTATATAATGCGCTGCATATAGAGGATTGATTTATATCTCTATGCAATATCTACTTCATCTGCCAAGTGTCCATGGAATAAATCAAATGATTTTGAGCTGCCAAATAGAGTGATGATTGATTATGGGTCACCAAGTTGTCAACTCTTAGTGACATATAGATAGACTTTATCCAAGATGATCTGTCCCCAATCAAGTTCATCCAGCTCTTGTCTGTTTTTTTTTTAAATTTATTATTTTATTTATTTATATTCCTATTTCCATCTCCCTTGGAGATTGGTTATCCTGCTCTTCTGTTTTTCCTTTCTCTCCCAGCATTATGGCTTGTTTGTTTATTTAAATTTATTTCTCAAGGGAGCTATGTTTTACATAAAATGTCAAAATATGATAATTTTAGCTTGGTCACTCATGCATTGTTTCATTTGTTTGTTTACTTGGGTTTTCATAGTTGTCTTGGGAGTCTTTCCCAACACCACAGTTCAAAAATCTCAATGTTCTTTCTATCCTTTTTTAAAATCATATCCCATTTTAACTTCCCTACCATTGCTTGCACAATTTTTGTATCTGTAAATATAGACATATCATAACATCTGAATATTTTTTCCAAGGCCTTCATTACTGGCATGATGATGATGATGATGATATCATCCATTCAGTTGAGTCCAACTCTTGGCAATTTTGTGGGCCAGGTCTCTCCAAATCTTCTGATCCTGCACTGTTTCCTTGAGTTTTTCTATGCTCTGGCTGGTGTCAGCTTTGAAGGTGATTACCAGCCTACTAAGTGCTAATCTGGAATATATTTTTTGATTGATGATTCCTTTTCTATGTAGTTGATCCTACATAGAAAGCTATCCACAACTTCATTGTCTTCAATGTTGCTGGTTGCTGTACTCACTGTTATTAGTTTGATCCTCTTTATATTTCATTGTAATTCCATTGATTGTCATTGACTGTCTTTAGTAGAGCTTCCAGATTATTTGTATTCTCAGCTATCAAAGTACCATTGTTAACATAAACCAAATTATTAATTTTCTTCTTCCAATTTTAAAACCACACTCATTTTCTTTCAAACCAAATTTTCTCAATATATAATTCTTCATATAGGTTGAATAAGTGGCAGGAGTGACAACTCTGTCTCACTCCTTTGACTACCTGGAGCCAATCTGTTTTACCATGTTCTATCTGTTCTGACTCACTGAGGCTGCCTACTCAGGACACCCAATCCACTTTTGGAGCATTGGGCAGCCTCGGTGACTCTGAATAAACACAAGACCACGCCCCCAATGGCTTCTCTTTTCCATGCCAAAAGCTTTTGCAAATAGATGAAAGGCTTCTGGGGAGCGATCTCACATTGCTTCAGGCCTTCCATCCCTTTGCAAAAGCTTTTGGTGCAGAGAAGCCTGAAGGAGCATGAAACTGCACTCCAAAGGCTTCTCTTTTCTCTTGTGGGAGTGGACCGGTGTATGCGCGCGCATCTGCACACCAGCCCACCTCTTGCGTACCTCTGTTCCCTTCTCCCCGCCAAGCTGGGCTGCCAAGGCTGTTCTAAGATATCCTGAATGTTGACATCTCTACTGTAAAGAATGTCCTATCTTTGTTTGATCTTTTTTGAATTATTTACTGTTTGCTTATAAGCATCCTTTAACGTATCAGTTTTACGTTGGAAGTTCTCTCTGAGTATGAGATCTTTTGGGAAATGTTCCTTGTTTTTCCTGTCTAGGTGATAGTCCAACTATGTTTTTTATTCTTTATTTCCAACTGCTACATTCTAATCTGTAAGCATAAGCAATACATCTTGCTTATATGTTCTGCCAATTTAAGATTGACCTTGACTATTCAACTCATTAACTTCTTTTTCTTCTGCATCAGAATTGGAGCATAAATGTAGGTAATCATCATATTAAAGGGTAATCTGCAAAGTCTAACTGATATTATTTGGGCATTTACTGCATTGTAGCCAAGGGAGATCTTTGCTATATTTTTTTCTGACTATAAGAGCAATGCTATATCTTCATTGTTTTTGATGTCCTGGATTAATAAGCAGTATTATTTTCTGAATGGAAGTTTCCAATTCCACTCCATTTTAATTCTCTTATGCCTAAGTGTTCAGTTGCAGTTGATTCATTTCAGTTTTTACTACATTGAGTTTTACCATGTTCGTGCTTCTTATTCCCATGTTCCATGAAAATTATGTCCTTTTAGTTACAAAATCTCCCTGTCTCCATTTCAACATCAGCAGCTCAAATCCTGAGGGCTTTTATGAAATTGCTTCATAAAAACCATTAGTACTTTGAAAAATCCTCAGTTTTCTTCCACAGCATATTGAATGCCATTTAACCTGAGGGGCCCATCCTCAGGCTCCATGTCATCAATTATTTTATATTATCTATCTATATAGTTTTCTTGGTAAAATACAAGAGTGGTTTACCATTGCCATCTTTTGCACTCTATGAAATGATATTTTTGCCATTATCTCTAAAGGGATGATCCTATACTACAGTATCTTCCTATACTACTGCAGCCTGATATAAGCACCTACTTCCATTAGCTGCAGTTGAGTTGATCTTCATGTCTTCCACTTCTTGAAAGTGTATGTTTTTGTGTACATTCCAAGCATTCTTTATTCATTCCTCCCAGGAACATCCCCTGTCATGATACAGCAAGATAGTAGGATTTCAGAGGGAAAAGTGCAGTGGAGAACATACATTTCAGACACTATTATGGTATGCAGAGAATGGAAGAGCAGTGTCCTTCATTCCTGCCTGTATAAAGGAATAAGATTTATTTCCAAACAGGGTAGACAGCAGGAGAATTTTTGAGAAGTCAAGGAGCATTAAAATGGTAAGCATGACTGGGCAATTGAAGGCCCACCTTTTTAATGGGCATAGCAAAGCCAGTACATGAAGTGAGATAGGCCACTTTTAAATTTGGCCTATATTACAAACAGGCAGTTCAACACACGTATGTTTATTGATGGAAGACACTGTGTTAGTCATTAACTCTGGTGGTTAAATAATCATAAACTCAGTTATTAGAGCTATTATTGAACATTTCTCCATCTCCTCCAAAGAAAAGACTTGTCTAAGGCTTCGTAATAGCTCCATTTAGGTGAATGCTGCATACACTCCTAATCATAACATCAGTGGTTAGCAACTGTGTAAGATCATGTTGCATCAACAGGTCCCCCACATAAACAGTAAGACAGCTTCCAATGACTGATACCATGGGATCTCACCTCAGATCCTGATAGTTCAATGGTGTCAGAGTTGTAAAGTTATCAAGTATTGTTACCAGGTAGGGAAAATGCTAATATATAGGTATCCTGACTAAAAACTTTGCCTACTACTCATTCACAGGAATTCCTAATGCTTTTAGTACAGAAACACCTTTAATTTTATTGGCAAATTTATTTAGAAAGGAATTAGTAAAAAAAAATCCATTTCAGCACAATAAACAAATTGCTTTCTGTTGATGTCCTGATTTTTAATTCAACAATCCTCAACTTACGACCATTCATTTAGTGTCTATTCAGAATTACGATAGCACTGAAAAAAAATTGTGACTGGTCATAGAACTGTCACAGCGTCCCTGTGGTCACATGATCCAAATTTGATTGCTTGGCAATCAGCATAGGTTTACAGTGGTTGCATATTCCCAGGGTCATGTGATCACCATTTGCAACTTTTTGCTTGCTTCCAAAAAGCAAAGTTGATGGGGAAAGCCAGTTTCACTTAATGATCACACAATTCACTTAATGACCACAGCAGAAAAGGTTGTAAAATGGGTTACATCTCATTTAGCAACTACCTTTGCTAAGTGACAGCATTTCCAGTTCCAGTTGTAGTCATAAGTCGAGGGCTACCTGTATAAATCTTACTGCTGGAAAATAACAATTACAATTTGAATTAGGTGATGTCATTTGTTTTCCATGTAATATAATGATTAAATGGAATACTTTAGTGGCACACACTTCAGAATCCCATAAAAAAGTGGTGTTCCTAAGAATACAGTTCTTTGCACTGTTGAGACTTGAGAGACAAAAATACAAGGTCTTCTCACTTGAGAAGGGGAGAATCTGAAATAAAGTGCATCCAAATTCTAAACAGCCTCTCTGCATTCAGAATAAACACATTCAAATGGGGGGGGGGAAATGGTACAATCAATGGTGATTTTTTTCAGAAACATCTTAGGTTCTTCCAAACCGATGGCTTTTAGCATGATTGATCAAAAGACAGTTGTGTTCAAAAAGCAGTTAGAAAAAAAGAAAATTACAAGTGAAAGATGTATGGAACTCATATAAAATGGCATTATTGCCCCACAGAAGCCTCATCTTTTTATCTAAACATGCTACTCTGACTTAGACCACCACATTTTTCCAAAATAAATTGTCTGCCTAAACAAGCAGACATTGATGTTTTGATCCTTTTTGCAAACAGCCCCAGATGAAGTGAATAAAACAAATGTTGCAAATGGTAACTTGACTTCTAGAACTTTTATACATAATGCATATTAAAATCACCTTTTCTGCTGCATTTTGCTTAATGCTACATATGCATTCACCATCATATAACATTTTATAGAGTAACATAAAAAGGAGGTTTTGTTCTATAGAAGTTACAGTCCAAATCTTGCACATGGGAAGAGGGTTAAAAAAGGGCAAAAAAAATGAATTGCAGTTCAAAATTAGAATTAGACTAGAGTTTAAATTCCTAGGCTTTTTATTATTTAGGG